TTAACCCAAATTGCCAGTAGGGAATCGGGATGCAGACCACTCTGGCTTCTTCCATGTTGGCTTCTTCCATGTTGAACAGGGACACAGGGTGGGGCAATTGGAGCACCCCTTCAGTGGCTCTATCTAAAAGACTCCCAATTTGCATACCTCTTATCTCTAGGGGGAAAAGAAAGTCCTTGAATTGTGAATAGGAGATGTGAAGAATTAAAGGCAAGAGTAATTAGCATTACAAGCTCTAGATGGGGAACTAGAAAAAAGTCAGAACAGGGCAATTTTCAAATGTTCATATGAGAGTCCATTGGAATTTCTTGACAAGGTTCCAAAAGCATCCCTCTAAAGGGTTCCTTTTTTTTTTTTTTTTTTTTTCTTTTTGTCTTCCAAGGCTGGACTCTAGAGTGATGGATTCAGAATTTGATTTCAGGTATTTTGATAACCGTTGGAGTGGTTAGAATCAGTGTCAGTTCCTTCTCAAAGGCTTCTAGACAAGGGGAGAAAACAAATTTATCCATCATTTTAGAACAATAGCTGGTTGTCTCCCTTAGCTACAGGTGGGCACTACAGTATTGCAGACCAAGATCTGAAGTCTTACATCTGAGCAGCACTTTCTGGTTAGGAACAAAATTATCAATGAGAAATAATTGTCTAAATAACTTTTTAAATAGACTTAAGCCAAATGTCTGGGACGTATAATCCCTTGAACTCTTAAAGAAGTATACTGATGACTTTACTGTTTGGTTATACTTTCCTTTTGGGTGTTTAAGACCATACAGTTGGCCCAAAGAAATCAATTTATTTTTACACTTAAGGTCATTTGAGAATCTGTTCTGCAGGGGTCACATGGGCTTGGGAGGATCTCCTGGCTCCTTTCTTTTACCAATTCCTTCTATGTGAAGATAAGTCAAAGGTCCTGCTCAACAATGTCTAGCTTCACTTGAAAGCATGAATGAGATGTTTCCTCTGAGTTAACCCTCCTCTTTGTAGACTGGTTCAAGTTCCATCTCGTGGGGTCTCTCTGGCCTCCCTGAACAAGAGGACAGGTGACTCACCACAGTTACAGGATATTTTGAGAGATGTTCCATAGTCCTCTGGAACTTAGTCGAGGGCAAGGGGTAAAAACTTTAAGTCCCTCTGACCACATTAGTATAGGCCTCAAACTATGGCTGTTAAACATCCAATAAGGTTAGTTCTGCCACTCTGGTACTTTTAATTATCATGTGTTACATAGAAGGCTTGGGTAAAAAACCAAATATTCTCAGATAAACCTTGACCAGATATATATTTTGTTCCTTAAACTAGTTGATTAAATTATGACCAGAGAAATTTTAAGATTATGTGCATATTATTTTTGAAGAATGGGGTTGTTTATTTTAAAATTTCATTTATTATTATTCTGTATATATACTGCATAGATGTGTGTACCATGGTATGACAACTTTGTGGAGTTAATTCTCTCCTTTCACTCTTACATGGATTATGGGGATCCAACTCATGTTGCCAGACTTGCACAGCAAGAGACTTTATCCACTGAGCCAATTTGTTGATCCAAGATCATTATTTTTAAATATGACTATCCAGTTAACCTAGAACTGTTTAATGAAATGCTTGTGATTTTCCATCACAAAATAGTACAAATCTTGCATACATCAGGTTTGGGAGGTTTGGATTCTATTCATTTCCACTGATTTGTCTATTTAAATAATTATCTTAATGATCTCATTTTATAAGGTGTCCAAATTTAGTAATTTGTTTCTTCTAACATTGACTTTATTTTTTAAAATATTTTATCTACTATTTTTATTTTATGTGCCTGTGTGTGAGTGCACACCGTGTTGTACAATGTGTGTGTGAGTGCACACCATGTTGTACAATGTGTGTGTGAGTGCACACCATGTTGTACAATGCCAGCAGAAGTCATAAGAAGGTCCTGAATTCCCTGGAATGGCAGTTACAGAAGGTTGTTAGCTGCCATGTGGATGCTGGGAACCAAACCCACGTCCTCTGCAGGAGCAGTCAGTGCCCTTAACTGTGGAACCATCTCTCTAGCCTCTGCTTTCATTTTTTGATTATGTTGGATATCATTAGTCCTTTTCATTTACACATAAATTTTTGTTGACTTACTAATTGGTTTTTGTATATTTAGATAACCTATAGCTTATCTACGACTTATTTAGACCTCTATGCCTATGCAGTAAATAATCTATGAATAATGATACTCTTTCTTTTGTTTCTTGCACTTGTGGTTCTTTATTTTTCTTGAATTGTTGCACTGGCTCTGTAGAATGTCATGTGAAATGTTGATTAGAATTAGATAGAGGTCTGTGCTAATCTCATTCCCAATCTCTCGAGAGAAATGTTCAATTTTTTATTATTGAATATGCTTTAAGGTAGATTTTTGTTGTTGATATTTCCCATTTTATCAAATGTCTTCTAGTTTATTTGTTTGCTATATTTTTAAAAACACAAAAAATTTTATGTTTAATTAAATGCTTTTTAAATTTTCTGGAGTTACAACTAAAAATATGAGGCATTTTCCTGTGCCTTCAGTACCAATGGAGTTTTTGGCGATTTTCTATTCAAACTTCAGCCTTAGTGTTGCCCCACTCAATACCTGGGGCACTGGTTATAAGTTGGTAAATTCTTGGGGAGAAAGGGGTACAGAATGCATGACTTAACACATTCGTGTGACTCCCTTCTGGTCCAGAGCATGGCTTCTGAGGCCCTCTTCATTTGGGTAGCCTCTCATGCCTTCAAGTTTGTATTTATTTTATTGTATTTTTTACCTAGCCAGTCATGTTTGCAGAAACATTAGCCTCATGCACACTATTCCCCTCCATCTCATTGCAAAAGTCAGACTTTTGTTTTCATTATTGTCAGAATTTGCATTAACATTGCAGCTTATTACTGATGAGATCTATGTATTCGGACTATTGTCAAACTTGAGAACATATATTGTAAAACCTTTCTTATCTATACATGAAATATATGATGTCCAATTTTGAAAAGTCCAAACTCACTCTGGTTCTGTCTGTCAAACATTTTTTTTTGCTCACATCTCCCCATTTCTTGTGCTGTATGCCTCGAGACACATTCAACACTTTGTTTCATGACTTTGTACAGTCAGCACAGTAAGAGATGGGAATGTTCTTAGAGGCTATCCCTACATGGTACTTGCTACCAGTAACTTAACTGCTCATGGAAGTAACTTCAAACTACACAAAAATATCACCTTATGCCAAATCTAAATGTTTTTCTCTACTTAAGCTTGTCTCAGCTAGTTCACCAAATACTGTATCCACTCCTAAACCACACAATGTGCAAAAGATGATGGAGAGAATTTACAGCTGGAGACAGTCATCTTGACCTATGCATTCTCAATGTGTAGTATCACTTCAAGGATGCACATGCTTTAAGGGGGTAAAAATAAAGATATATATGTATATATATAAAATGCTTTATTAACCTTATATATTAATGTAAATATACATGGATGGTATTAAAATTTCATGGAAGAAGCAACTGGGAAAATATATATCTAAAAAGCTTGTTGGAAGACTGCCACTTAAAGGGAATCACTATTTTAACCAGCTGAAGTAAAATGCCTTAGTTCACCAATTTTACCAAGACACATGGCCATAGCAACCCACTGCCAGGGATTCTCCCAGTGTCACAGGGAGGACCTGTGTAAATGAGGAGCTGAAACCAAAGCTTCTTACCTTCCTGGCAAAACCCATCAAACTCAGGCTCAACAGAATGACTGTGTTGTGAGGAGCTCATGCAGCTTTCTTTAGTTATAGCGAATGAATGTTCAATAGACATGACTATAGCAGAATCAACTGTGGAAATTGCTTTGCAGTGGCACTGCCTTCTATCCCTGTCTTCAAATGTTGCTGAAGGAAATTCCCTAAGGAGTGAAGTAGAAAAGATGGGGAGAGGAGTACAGAGATGCAGGGTCATAGGAGAGGTCACAGTTTCAGCCTAGACTCCAGTCTGACAACCTGCCCACAAGAACCTAAGACTGACCACACCACAAGGTGCGTGTTCAACTATGCAAAGGCTCAGGTGTTTATGAAATGATGGCGGGTACATAAAGGGTTCAGAAATTAGAATACCCTAGGCGCTGAGCTTCTCCCAACTGAACCTTTGTAGAAGTATTTCGTGCATCTCTCTCAAATGCCTTCTCCCAGTGTGTGTAAACATATTGCTGTTCTCTAAGATCTAGGTCAGTTCCTCCCCATCTCAATCTTGCCTCGCTTTTCATTATGGTCCCTGTGGTCCTCATGCTGTTCAGCATTATAATTCTTTTTGAAGAAATTCTATCTTTCTGAACGATCTCTGCATTGCTGCCAATACATTTTCAGTCTCATTTAGCTTCATATCTCCAAGTAGAACAATGCCTGTGTGTCTGAATTACTGAATATCAGAACAATGGGAATATGTTATCACCTTGAGTCTTTATGAGAAGAGAGTATGGAGACACTAGATAATAAAAAGGGAACTGTTTGCTTTCTATTGTTGAGGTTACAAGTATATACCAAATCAGAATATGCCAGAAAAATGGGTATGCATATATATATTCCAGTTTTTTATCTTATTACTATTATGAATACAGTATTATTAATCACGCCACTTAAATTAAAAAGACATTCATACTTTTCTACTTCATGGCTTATTAACAATCACATTATCATTTGAATCATGATGTCATTGAGTCATATCAAGGATTAGTAACTAACCATTAGATCCGAGTAAGGAGTTTAATATAGAAACTTCCAGAATTTTGTGCTTGATTCTGTTCTGAAATCTTACTTATTTTTGCTCAAGGCCTTTCTGGTTTTGAGCTATGAGATACATTGCTTGTGTAAGAGTCAAGCTAAGAAGACTGAGCCAACTTTTAAAAGAACGAAAGGAGATCGTTTTCATGACATAAAACCTTAAACAATGAAATCCTGATGTTTTCCATTTACTTTAATGTACACTGTAAAATAATAAAGGCAGCTTACCCTTCATGCCAATGGGGCCAGACTTGCCAATATTGCCCTGGGATCCCATATCACCCAGTTCTCCTTTAACTCCTGAAAACAAAGCATGCCATTTATATATCATGAGGTTTTTATCTTTTTTTAAAGATGTGACCAACATGATGTTGATTCAAAGGAAATAGCAAAAATTATGTTTTATTTAAGATACCTAATTGTTAATTTGACACAATCTAGAGTCATCTGGGAAGGGAATGTCCACGAGGGATTCTCTGATTGGGTTTGTCTGTGGATATGTCTGTGGGGAACTGTCTTGACTATACTAATTGAGGTGGGAAGATCCACCCATTGTGAGTGGCACCATTCTCAGAGATTCAGTCCTAGACTAAAAATTAAAAAATAAAAAAGAAGAAAGTGAGCTGGGCACAAACAGGAAGTCTTCTTGGCTCTCTGTTCTTGATTATGAATGCATGTGACCAGATTCCCCCCTCAAACTTCTGCTGCTGTGACCTCTGAGCTATGGTGGACTGTGACCGAGGACCATGAGCCAAAAGAAATCATTTCATTTTAAGTAGTTTCTGTCAGGGTTTTTAAAAAACAGTCATAGCAATAGGAAATGAAACTAAGACACGAACATGCACACACACACACACACACACACACACACACACACACACACCCATCCTGTGTTATATTACCTGTGCTGGATAGCTTTAGTGTCAGCTTGACACACCTGGGTTGAGGAAGCCTCAGTTGGGGAATTGCTTCTATTGGACTGGCCTGTGGCCATGTCTGAGGGGCATCTTCTTGATGAGTGATGTGGGAGGGCCCAGCCCACTGTGGGTGGTGCCACCCCTGGGCAGGTGGGCCTGTGTTGCATAAGAAAACAGGTTGAGCAGGGGCCAGGGGAGCAAGCCAGTAAACAGCATTCCTCCATGGCCTGTGCTCCAGCTCTTGCCTCCAGGTTCCTGCCCTGAGTTCCTACCTTGGGCTCCGGGATGAACTTGACCTGGGATATGTAAGCTAAATAAACCCTTTCTTCCCCAAGTTGGTAGTGGTCAGAGTATATTGTCACAGCAATGAAGAACAAATTAAAACATTACCTGTTTAAACAGTTAACATAATATATCTATTAAAATTGGAATGTGAGTGATTGAGACAATTCCGGGCATGCTGATATTAAAGTATTTGCTGATGAAGTATTCTAGAATATCCACAATGGGGTGTATAAGATAGAGGTCATGTAAGCAGCCGAGCAGGCGCCTTGGCTCTATATTAGATCTGTTCATCTCTAGACATACTTTAGCTTTGTTTGAGTACTGATTTCTTCTCTCTCTTTTAAAATGAGATTTGACAATTTTAGTCATTTTAAGACAGGGAAGAGAATGTGCGGTCATAAAACCCAGTGATCAGAGAGACATCATTTGCTTCTTTTTTTCTTTTGAGACGGCATCTCACACTGTAGCCTTGGCTGGCCTGGCATTCACTATGTGTCCCCTGCTGACTTCAAATGCAGTGGTTCTTTCTTAAGCCTCCTGACAATACAGGTGTGAGCCACAACACCTGGCTTTGTCGCTGAGCTTTTAATCCTAAAACTTACGATCAGGGGTCCCTAAATTCTTCTAAAATCATTGTTTGCTTTAAAAATGATAATATAAAAATATTTACTAGTTGAAAAGCTTTTTTTATGAGAATAATTTTGTAATTGACGTAAAAAGTTTTAGAATGAGTATAAATCAGACTTTCTGAAGTTGAGACTTCAAGGTCTAATGAGTCTTTTCAACCCTTTAAATTATTCAAAAATGGAAAATGAGTGGTCTAAGGTAACTCTCTGGCAGCAGCTTTCAGGGAACAATCCAGGTGTTCAGAAGATACATGCTTGTATATTACAACCTAAAAAACATTTTTACTTTTTAGTGAGGCTTGGTCTTAGCTTTATTAGCAAAAAATATTCTGTCTTTTGTTTTATTCTCTTCCCCCTTGCTTCTACTTTCTGAAGGACCCTATTTGACCCATTATATAATTCCTCTTCATAAGGAAAAGGATTTTAAAGAAATAAAGTGATCTTGGGAAAAGACTAATCCAGGGAAAAGATTAGTGGATCAAAGGATCAGGCAAAACTTTCTATGAACACAGCTATATTTAAAAATCTCACTATCTTATATATTCTCAAAGAGTGCTGTTCCTTGGGCCATGTAGTATGAGCCACTCTGGCCAGTCCTAATGGTATAGCTTGAATTATGACTAAGTCTTTCTGTCAGGCAAGTTCATAGGAGCCCTGGGATGGTCAGTCAATTCATATCTGAAACATTAAATGTATCTTTGGCACAGCGGGCATTGTGAAACTGCTAATTTCCAGGGCTAGGGCCAGAAGAGAGAGCATTTCCACATTATAACTGCAATTTCAGGTGGGTTTACCTACCTTTTGGTCCCCTGCGTCCAACTTTGCCATCCTTGCCCTCTTCTCCTGGGTCTCCTTTTTCACCATCATCTCCTTTTAAAATAAGAGAGAGGGAGAGAAAAAGAGAGTTAGCAGCTCAAATAGAAGCCTAAGCACATTCTCCTCAGGGGAAGGAGACTATGCTTAGAATCCATGTTGCAACTCAGATATGAGGATGTACATGGGCCATGAGGATTGGGCAGCTGAAAAGAAGAAAGTTCCATTTCAATCATGAACTCACAACAGCTGTGGTTACATGCGCTGGGCCTGACATGTGAGTCATGTGTGGGGGAGGGGCTCACAAGGTCCTACCCCTAACTGATGAACTATTTGCTATTGATAGATTCTGGGGCTGGGGAATTTTTGTCTTTAGTTATGTGCTCAGTGCTGAGCCCACCAGGCTCCAGTGAGTAGCTCCAAACCCATGGACACACTGACCACCCTGTTTAAACTCAGTGGATCACAAGGCAAAATAAACAGGTATAAATGTGAAAACAGATATGTAGGGTGTGTAGGAAAGATTGGGGGATAGACAGGGTGGGAGGAAGTTAGGAAAGGGTGGGGATGAGAGCAATAAGTATGTAATATTTATGTGTGTGTGTGTGTGTGTGACTTAAGTACTAATTTCATTAATAAACAAGGAAGAAAACATTTTTTCCTTTGCTTTTCTCCCACTCAGCTCTACATTAGAAGAACTCCCAAATTTTAGGCATGTACCAGGAAGCTAAGAACAGCAGGCTAGGGATAGCAAATAGCTGCAAAGCAGCTGAATGTGGACAGTGGCTACTCTAGTCATAGCTGAGAACAACAGCTTCAGCACCTTGAACCATTAAAGATGGCTGAATGGGTGGCTTAATGAAAGATGCTTGGACTGGACTATAGGACAGGAGGTGCAGATTTTAGTATGATATTAGTCACTAATAGTGTAATTCTTTGATAAGTTGATGATGGAACGTAGGTACTTCCGGGGAAGACAGGTCTAGGCTTGAGTCCCAGCTCCTCTGCTCCCTGCCTGGAGGGACTTGATCATATCAACTGCTTTCTGAATCTCACATTTCTTTCCTGAAAATTGCATTAATAATACCTACTGAGTGAGCTCCCTAGAATTTATGTAGAGAAATACACACAGAAGTCTTGTGACAGTCTGTGTTTAGTGATAGCAACTATTGTTATTCTTCCCTCTATTCTGCATTTCCTCATCCTTGGTGTGGGGGTATTACCTGCCATCCCTAACTTAGCCAGTTGTTTTAGAATCAACAAGTTAAGTATGTGAATGTGCTTTGAAAACAAGAGCATAACACATACAGTATTGTGCCTGAATCCCAGCCTTATCATCATGGCAATCTCAGGACAGTGAAAGCAAGAGGGATGATGGGAGACTGAGATTCTAGGTTATAGGATTATGTAAGAATCTAGCTGTTTTACAGGAGCATCTACAGGAACCTTCTGGAACTGGCTTTTAAAAAGATTCTTACATGATTTCTGTGGAATCGAGTTTAGGCCGGATGGTATTTTTCTAAGCAACAGTGAATGTTTATTTAGAAGTTTAATATGTGCTATGCACTTGAGCTAAGGATTTTGACATTGGATCATGGCAATCCAGGAGAAAGTATTATTACTTCACATCATAAAATAGAAAGAAAACAAGACCTCGTGTGGTTAAGGTGCTTGCTTATTGTCACAGACTTTATTAGTAACCAAATGAGGGTTCTGACATGGCTACGTTTCTGCCTATCCCAATATAAATTTGGTGCTTTCAACTTAGGCTTCAATGACTCTTAGTAGGTGGTGGATTTAGAAGATTTGGCACTTTACCAATTTTTTTCAGAGAGGAGAAAGTGAAAAAATGACAATTTTTATTACTTTTTAAACAAGACAGATAGTGGGGGACTGTCATTTTACTATCTTGGTGATTTAAGTCTTAGGAAATGTGTCCTTGATTTCGGTTTAGTATAATTGAGACCTAGATTTACCACTCACTAGCTGAGGGATTTGGGCCCTGGGAACTCCTTAATCTTCTCTGAGCATTGTTTTACTCAGTAGTAGAATAGACTTTTTACATATTTTTTCCAGAAAGTTTTTCCCTCCCTCCCTCCCTCTATCCCTCTTATCCTCTGTCCCTTTCTTCCTTGCCCTGCCTCGCTCTCCCTCCCCCCTCCATTCTTCCATCCTTTTGCTTTTTGAAAGTGACATTCTATGGAAAGGTTTCTCCTTCTCATTCCCAGGCTGAGGAAAATCTTCTGATTACTTTTGTTGTTTAAAATACTACTTTATACTCAATGTGTCCATTTATTTCTGTTTGCCCTTATATTCATTCTTCTGTGAGCTGAGAGATGGGCTGTGAGCCCAAGCATTTTTTTTTTTTCCTAACACATGAAGAATCGAGCAGAGTGCCAGATATCAGTGCTTAAAATGTAGTCGAATTGATATGCTTTGTATGAACCATGGACATCTTACAAATGTAATGATGGTGTTATCGAGTACTATGCACCACAATGTCCTCACCACCTGACATGCACTCAATCATTTGCTCCCCACGACAAGCCTTCAGAAGGATGCTATTCTAAGCTCCATTTTACAGATAAGGAAATGGGGTCAAGGAGAGGGGGTATAACTTCTACAGGGTTGCAGAGCTTGTAAATGGTGAAATTGAGATTCAAATCAGGGCATCTTTCTTCAAAGTCCATGTTCTGAATAAGCACAATTATTTGGAACAAATCACTACCTTCTCTTTCCTGGGCCCAGGATTATCTTTGCTGCAAAGGGACGGAAAAAGCAAGTCCTGTTCTCAGTAAAGGTAAGACTGAAAAGCCATACGGATCTGAATTGGTAGCATTGTTGTTTTCCCCCCTTCTTCTCTCTATTCATTTCCAAGCACCTTTCTCACTGGAGGCCAGGTGAGTGATTTAGTTGTCTGTTGCTCCCTGGTGGCTCTGATGGGAGATCTTGGATGGTGGAAACGGAATAATGGTTCGCGTGACCTCTGTGGCTGCACCCAGCTTGCTGCTGTGCAGAAGGCTGCCAGAGTTGAAGTAAACAACTTGTGTGCTTGCCTTCAGCTTGGGTTTGGGTTATTTGATCTTTGGGAGCTGCTTCAATGACAGCAGAAGGGAAACATCAAAGCGAGCTCTCAAAAGGACCCCCACATGGCTCACTGTTGCCTGTGTTATCCTCTTAGAAATACCTCATTGGATTACTGGGGCTATTTAGACTGTCTTTCCTTCACTTAAAAAATAGCCACTTACATTTAAAAAAATAGATGAAAAGCTAAACTGAAATAAACTAATTTCAATTTTATAAAAATGATTTGTTTGGGCCATTGGGGCCATTAGCCTACTGTGATAATCTCTCCGGCACAGCACATAGTTGTCCAAATTTTCTTAGGCAGGATTTTTAAAATTTTATTTTGGCAGTAAGCAAAAAGTTTTTTAAAATTGAATGTGACTTTGAAATTAAATAAGTGAACTTGGGTTAGTACCATGAATTCAAATAGAGCAAGTATTAAAAATTAGTGAATTCCTGAAGGTGAGATGAGTTTCTTTTTTAAAAAATATTTTATTTATTACTTTTATTTTATGTGTATGAGTGTATTGCCCACATGTATGTAAGTGCACCCATGCCACACAATGTCCATGGAGATCAGAAGAGAGCATCAGATTCCCCTGGAACTGGGGTTACAGACAGTTGTTAGCTGCCATGTGGTTGCTGGGAATCAAGTCCTTTGCAAGAGCAGCCATTGTTTTTTACAACTGCGCCATCTCTCCAGCCCCTGAAATGAGTTTCTTGAAGACAACAAAAAGATGGATTTTTTTCTTAATCCATTCCATTAGCCTGTGCCTTTTGATTGGGAAGTTGAGGCCATTGATATTTAAGGTTGTTATTGAAAGGAATGTATTGTTTACTGTCATTTTAATTTGTTTGTGTTCTTGGTCCTAGTTTGTGTTTCAGTAATTATACTTTCCTTTGTCTTCTTTCTATAACCTCCTGGGTGTAGACATTCTTTTGTTTGGTGCTTTGTATTGCTTTGAGTACTCTCTGTAGGGTTGGTTTGGTGAACATGAATTCTTTCAGCCAATTTGTGTCATGGAAAATTACACATACAATATCTGAACATGAGTGCATGTGCATACCTGAGGGATATAGAACTACAAAAACAGTGCCAGACAGGAGAAACCTCCCTTTGAGTTGTTGGTCAGGGTAGTCCAAGAAACTCTTAAAATAATACAAGTTATTGCTACAGCCCTTGATTATTACCTCCCAGAACTTGAAGGTAAGACCCTATTGCTGAGACAGAACATACTTTGGACACAGGACTTAGAGCAAGGGAACTGGAACTGAACTGGAAGCCTCCTCCCTGAAAGACTAGCTCTCATAGTTCTAGTGGATGCTATGCAAACTGCTAAGGGAGAAAATCAATCAGTGGTCCAACCCCAGTTTTAAAGCCTGATAATTACAACAATAGCCAACACAACAAACTATAGCAATACAGTAGTGGCATGTTTATCTAGGGTGCAATCAGCATCTACCCAATTGAACTTAAAGCCCTCTCAGTCTGAGGGAATTCATGGGAAGCACTGAAAACATAGCCAAATATACATGGCAGGAGAGGTCAGATATCCTAGAGAAAACCCTATCTCTGTCATATCTCTAGACAAATGAAATTTCTTACTGCATACCAAACATGGATCCTTATATTTACAGACAAGTATACCACACATACTTGTCAAAAAAGCATCTTTTTGCAATAGATGGAGGCTATTAAAGAGTTACACAACTGGTTATACAGAGAGACTATGTCTGAGAGAAGCCTAACCCCAAGCAATATATCTACAGTGGGACCTCTACACTTAAGGGCAGGGGAAAGAGATAAAATCTCAGGACAGTACCAGGGAAATGGGCAGCAGGCCTCAACTTTAGCTGAGGAACTATTGGCAGCTGGTGATTGCTGGGTGAGGGAGAGTTGATTTTCTTTAAGGGAATGACTCTAGATGAGGAGTGACTCTAGGCTGAGTAGACTCCAGTGGATGAATTGCACGGACAAACATCTGGGAATA